ATGATTTCACTAACAAAGATGTGTGGGTTCAGGTGGAGCTGGTGCGGCGGGATTATGTGGCCAACAGTGGCTGGGAGACCTTCCTCTCCTATGAGGATCCGGAGCAAGACATCTTGATTGGCCTGCTGCGTCTACGTCGCTGCTCTCCACAGTCCTTCCGTCCTGAGCTGAAAGGTGCCGTGTCCATCGTCCGCGAGCTACACGTTTACGGCAGCGTCGTCCCCATCAGCAGTAGAGACCCCAGCAAGTTCCAGCATCAGGTGATTACACTGCGTATTAAGTCGATCCCACTAAACACATGACTTCACTTCCAGCTGTGAATCTGATTGTTTTTTACTGTCTCAGTAAGACATCACCGCAGGCCTGAATTTTCTTTGACCTGCCTCAGACTGGAATGAAACTCTGAGATTAACCACAAAATAAGGCATAAGTAGCTCATAATGTCCTGCAAAACAAAGTAAGCATTTCTCTCGACCTGTTCTCCTCTCCTCCCTGTGTAGGGTTTTGGCATGATGCTGATGGAGGAGGCAGAGAGAATTGCCAGAGATGAACACGGCTCTAGCAAACTGGCTGTCATCTCAGGTGAGAAAGAAAACAGCACAGTAGGACATCAGTCATCATCTCTTCAGACAGCCCAACACAAACATCTGTTTGAGGCGCATCATGTCTTCAGTTTGCTGAACAAAAACTATCAGCAACACCAAATAAACCCTCCTTCTCCAGGAGGGACATGCCCAGAATACCTCCCCAGGGAGGCGTCCAGGGGGCATCCTAAACAGGTGCCCGAGCCACCTCAACAACAAGTTCATGGCCATAATTTTATAATTTTTATAAATAATAATAATAATAAATATATATTTCTACTTTAAATTAGATGGCACAGGGTTAAGGTTTCACACACGTTTGTCTATGAATTTAAAGTCTGAATACAGATTTCAGACACTTGTGAACCACTGTCATTTTGCATCATCACTGACAGATGTGTATTGCAGTGTCTGCTAAATGGGCAGAAAAAGAAAAGCTCACATTATTCCACCATGGGAGTGTTCATGCAGGGCTGTCCCCACCACCACTAGCCTTGTAGCCACACCATTTAAACGGAATAAATTACCTACTGTTGTTGATAGTGTCTTAACAAGTGAAACCAGATGCAAACACATACCCTGTATAGCCACTTGCATTGGAGCTAGTATGAATTAGGCTAAACTGTTAGATTGAGGCCCCCAGTAGAGTATTAATATCCACTATATAGCAACATCTTCCAGCAGCCAACATTAGCTTGAAGCCTTGGTGTGAGAGGAGTAGTAGACCATGGGAACATTCACACATGGATTGACAGCTGTGAGCTCTCACTCCTAACTTCAGCCTTCTCTGACCGGTTAAAGGTCTTGTTCCAAAGGCTTTTAAAGGGAATGGGTACATCTCAAATCTCTTATATAATCATTCCTTGCTCCTTGCTTGTCCAGAATGTCTTCCAGAATTGAGGACATCTCAGGACTATGGGTACCTCTCAGCTCCCTTGTAAGTGCTGTTGTTCACTCACTTGCGTCTTTTCCTTGTGTCTCAGTCTTACCCATGTAATATATGAGGAAAACGTCCAAGGAGAGAGGACTTGAGGAAACACGTTAACATGTGACACCCATTACTCAGATGCTTCATCTGAAGTGTACAATCACCAACTGATTTCTGATGAAGAGGTGTGATGGTTCAAACAAAATTTCCACATAGGATGGTCTCTTGGCTCCTCCAGCCGCCTCCTCAGTCCTCAGAGTAGATAAGAGACTTCAAATGTCCTCGGTTGAGCAAGGAGGCTGCTGGAGGAGCCAGGAGCAAGGATACAAGAGACTATCCTTTTATGGACTGACACGCTCCTTTATTGGAAATCACTTGGTCATTAAACGCTTCAGAAGGATTGGATCCGAGGAAAGGATGTGTCATGTTTCTTGGAATGAGTTTTCTCAATTCCTCTCTCCTCACATCTTACGTGGGTGGGACTAAGACAAAAGGAAAAGACGCAAGGCAGGGAAATGGTGGTGCATATAAGAGACTTGAGATGTACCCTCTGTCCCTGCGCTGCAGCCAGGCTGCTCAGTGAGTCTGGGTCTCAGGAGCCTTAGATAACACCTACCTCCCCACATTAAGATATGTTTTGGACGTTATCTCTACTAGAATATAATAGAAAGTTATATACTCTAGTTTTAACAATTAGAATCCATATGCTCAAATAAAATACTTGATAATAGTACACTATATAGTAAATAAGAAGTGATTTTGGACACTGTTTCTTAATGACCTTTAACATATCTTTGACCTTTGTTTACTGCCGTTAGCAGCTACATACTGAAGTAAAGATGTCCAACTAGTGGCTTTCTGTGGTCCTCATAGCACTTCATCTTCTGTCCATGGTTTGTTCTACAGGTGTAGGAACAAGGAACTACTATAGAAAGATGGGCTATGAGCTGGAGGGGCCGTACATGGTGAAGGACCTGTATGGAGCTGGAACGGACTGACTCTAGACAACATTTTTATCTGGACGATGGCTACAAATATATACACATACTATATTTATCAAGCCACTGTTACTGGGACACTCCCCACAGTATTTTTAGGTTTGTGTATCAGAGGAGATAACAATTGGGTGTTTTTCTCTCAGCCCGTGCATCGGCTTTTTATCTGGTGCACACTTCACAGTGCTCTTGCTTCTCCTCTGTTTCTTGAGATAAGGGAACAGTGTATGGGCATGAGGAATAAAGTAAAGTTATTTGGGGTGAAGCCAACGTGTCTCGTGGATGAGCTGTCGAGTTAATTTAATTTAATTTAACATTCTTTACTACTACAGTGTCAGCAAAGACGGTTGGATGTGAACATTGTCATGTAAAAATAAAATTTTACATTTTAATCTGCACCTTTCCCCCCCACTGAAACTAACGGGTCCCTTCAGTGCCTTGCTAGTGAACTCTGTCTCTGCACAGTACTGAGTTTGAACAACACTACTGAGGCATTTTTGAATGTATTCAAATGTTGGAGATAAATCAGAACAATCAGGATGAGAAACCTGTTTAGCATCACAATTTGAATTAATCATATTTATATTGCAGTCAAATAGAAAACTCATTAAGAGTCAAGTATTAACAGTTGGCACTGGATGAATGAACAGTGAGATAGATGTGTCTTTACTGGGCAGCTGTTGTGTAGTTGCACAATTTTGATTTACAAGGCAGGAAACTGAATATCAGTGTTATATAAATTGCTTTTTAAGATCCAGCAGTTCATCCTGTTTCTGGTTTCTCTGCAGTCTTTGACTACATGTGTTCTGGTAAATTCCAAATGCTGAACACATCTAACTTGACCATGTTGTCACAAAGTATATTTCATTTGTGTCCTGCTTTACGAGAGATGTTCTTGATTTTGCAGAAATCTTTGCAAGATAAAACTAAACATCAGAAAAGCCAAAGAAAAGTCACAACGTCAGAGTGGCTCCTATAATGTATTCCCCAATGTCAAGGGTGGCAGCCCGTGGAGGAGACCCCTGATGATTGCCCTGTGAGAGTGTTTTACTGGCTCATTTGGCACAGCCTTTCCAATTACATCTCCATCGGTTACCTGTCTGTTGAACAATGACTGAATGCTGTGTTCAGCCACACTGTTACTGGAAAGGGTTTGTCATTTGAAAAATGGCTAGCAGCAATGAAGCACAAAAGCACCAGGCAGCCACTTATGCCTCATATAGATTCCAACTGCATGGGGTGATTGAAGCTGAACAGCCATGCGTAATTTCCCGGGTGCCACCGCTGTGTCGTGACTGCGCTGTGCTGTGCTGTGTTGGTGTTGCAGTCCTGACGCAGGGAGGAATAGAACGCTCTCGGGCTTTCTGTCCATTCTTGCTCACTCCTGCAATCAGCTGTGAAATCTGAAAGGACTCCTCTCCTCTCAGACCCGCTGAGCTGATTTGCGCTGTAGAGGAGCCAGAGTTTGGTCTAATCTTCACTGCAACAAGAGCAGAAGTCTAGCAGGTTACTGAAGTGGAGATTAGAGGATGTGTCTACTAAACATACCTGAGGAAAGCAAGACAAAAGGGGTCTGAAGTTGCTGCTGCTTTTTGTTTCCGTTTCTCTTCTCCACCAAATGTATGAATTGCCTCATTTCAGTTCAGTCTTGTAATATGTCCTCAGCCCAAAATTGAGATTTTCTTTCCTAAGCAAATGTCATTGAAGTTAATTAGAATGTTTAATATGCCATCTTGTGAATGTCAGCTATCATTTTGTCACTACTTTCCTGTATGAAAATTCATTGTAAATTCAGAAAAGTGCTGCTAAGTCCTTATACAGTATTCTGGTTCCAATGAGTGATACTACACTGGTACCATAAAATGACTGATCTTGTGGTACTGGACAAACTGGGCTATCTAGCATTACAGTGATAAACATAACTACATAAATCAGCATTGTTAGCATTGTCACTGTGATGATATCAACATCCTGATGTTAATGAAGTGATGACGGACAAAATCTGAAGTTAATGTAAAAGCCAATATGAGACTTCAACATCCTGAGTTAATCAACTCGGTACAGTATCTTCCAAAGTTTGTTTTTTTTTAGTGTGCAGTTCCTTCTGTTAGTTACTGCCCTTCCATGCTTACCCTTCCTTACTTGCTCAACAGTATAGTACTGTCTGTAGAAACCCAAGGAGGAAACTTTATACTGGACAACTGGAGGATATTGCCTACTTGATTTGGGGACCTATTGAGATAGACGTGAAAAATTGTGAAGCTATTGTTTCATTTGTAAGAATATCATTTTAAACCTTCAGATCATCAAGAAGTAATCTAAAAAAAAAAAATATGGTTTTTATAAATCAAACTGTTTACAGGTTTATGCTTGAGAATACATTTGCATCCCAGTACAATACTCACATGCCCGTATGTACATTGAACGGGCTATTAGTCACAGCAATCATTCATCCTGTTCATACTAGCTATAAATTGATTTCTCCCTAATGTGATTTCAATTGCAAGGACCGAGATACTCAAAGGTCCCTGCTCTGTGTAGAAATGCAGCCTGTTACTATCTTTAACATAGCTCGAGTTAGAAAACGGGGAGTTTTGTACTGAAAAGACAATAACTTTGGAAACTACCTATTCGATTAACTCAGACTGCTGAACACACCGATTAGCTTGAGCATAAAACAACTGTGGATGTCGTACCCACCTCTTACAGACATTACCTTTCCCAGCATACGTCAAACTTCTAATGCACTCTCCATTCCTCTAAACTCTCTTGATAAGCTGGGAGTTCAGGGGTCGTCTGAGTGAGCTTCTGGCCGGCCAGCAGAGCGTGGAGAGTCACTCCCTCCAGGAAAGGTCAGAAATCTGTCAAAGACAGCCTCATTGAGCTGGGAGCAGAGGGGTCAGCTAAGCCAGCCTTGCTGGTTTCAATCTCTACCTGCTCCTCTGACGTCCACATCTCAGATACTGCTGAGCTCAACCGCCTTACCGCAAGGACTGACTGAGAAAATCGGTGGGTGGTTACTTTGATGTCAATACTGCATTTGTTCATTTATTTATGCTGTAAAGCCTTTGTGTGGATCATCATCCTGACTGCAAAGCATGAATTTTACATGAATAACAGTTACAGTACCACAGATAGGCTGTGCAGCACAACATTTAAAAGGGTTACTAGACATCATTCATGCTATAGGCAGTCTGTTTTTCAGGCATGTGGGCAGAAAAATTATGAAGTAGTCATCTAAAATATGGACTATCAGTGCAGACTCAGCATGGATGTGATGAGTGACAATCCTAATGCTTGGCTGTAATTTCCTGCTCACGAGGGGACGGTATATTAGCGGTCGTTAGTCACTGTGTGCATCCCACCGCTAAGCCTTAAAGTTTTCCCTGCAGGTGTCACATAAAATGCTCACAATGATATGGTCTGAGTCAACTTTTGCAACAAATCAAAAGGGCGTTTAGTAAAACAAACTAGTGAAATGATGAGAAAGTATTTTAAATAAGAACCCTTTACAAATAAGTCATATTTTAATTGATGTATAAAGCAACTATGACGTACATAAATATCTCTTAAGTGTCTGTGGAAGAAAAAAAAATAAAGAGTAGAAAATACAAACACCTGTCCCAGGTAATGCAGTGTTAACAACCCTGCAATATATAATGCAACAGAAACAAGTTTGACTGCTGCTTTAGCTATTTTTGTGTTGCGTCCAATCTGTGGTACATTTTGTTTTGTCACAGAGGTTGTACTGCACTACTATGGACGGGTTTGTACTCTCATTTTACATATACAACATATCAGCGGATGGTTCAATCCATGCTACTTCGACATGATGTGGACATATTGGGCTAAGACATCTACAAAACATGTCAATGTTTTGCTACACTTTCCCACAAGTATAAAGATCAAGTCAAAATGAACACCTGAAACAAACCTGAGATAATGAGTCACTGCAGACACTGCAAGCAATAGCATCAATCAGCCATGTATGCACACATTAAAACTGATTTTCTGTGTCAAGCATTAAAGGCCCAATGAACAGCAGTGTTTCCTGGTGATACAGCTCATATTTAAGTGCCACCAGATCTCTATGTGGACATCTGGATCTCATTGGGTGTTGTCTGCCATGCAGTCAAGGGTCCAAGGTCAATGGACTGGTTTCCACTAGATCTCAGGGTTGAAATGGACCTCATTCAATTCATTCCTGTTTTCCCTTTATGTGATTTGCTACATAGTTTATAAACCGAGCTTCTGTTTCAGGACCAGAAATAGCACCTACAATACTATATATAATCATACATATGCATTATCCCCCTTTGTCCTGTGGCAGTAAAGTGACTATGTAGGAAGCACTGCAGTCAGGGTGTCCATAGTCAATATTCCATGTACTGGCCATAGTGGTTATAGCCATTTTGGTCTCTTACATGAACCTTCTGTCAATGGGAGTCCTCTCTGAGAGCGTAACGCACTCTGGCCTCCAGCTGGTCTGCCAGGGGACGGGCATCTGGGTTTGAGGCGAGCATGTCTAAAAGCAGGGTGCACATGGCTGGACCAGGAGGGGGTGGCAGAGGGGGCGCTCTCTTACTCTTCAAAGGGATGCACAGCTGGAGGTCAGCATTCTCCCACAAAGCTTCCCCCAGTGGCATCAACCAGCCTGAGCGACCCTTACACACGTAGGCACCTGGAGGGGGAAACACAACAGAAGATTTAGATTTGCCAGGGCCTGCTGGTGTAGCATTGTCACTATGAGGATATCAACATGCTGATGTTAGTGTTTAGCTCAAAGAGCTGCTAGCATGGCTGCAGGTTGACAATCCAAGCGATGAGGGTGTTACTGGTGTAACATCTCCGGTAATCGCTGACACAACTTAAGTGCCCATGAGACTACAAGTCAAGACTACAAGGAAGATTTTCAAAACCCACTGAGATACACTTGCTTGTCAAGTCACTCCAGTACAGAATGTTTTGTTATTCAGCAGGGACAGAATAATTACAATCAGCTGAAAACATGACACACAGTCAAGGGGATATGAGGGACACAACAAATAAGACCTATATCAATTACATTAAACTAATCTCATCCTCTGCTCCTGCATGTGTGTGAGGACCTTAGTGTAAACAGTGACCGACTCAGGGAAAAATACAGTGGAAAAGCTAAATGGAATGAAACCACATCAATTTATGTTTTACTGGATTACGAGTATAGGAAACTCCAGGTTATGGCTCGTTAAGGTCCTTCTTGCCCAGTCAGCCGACTCCAGAAAGAGTCCTGATGGTTCCAGACTTCTTCCATTTCCCAATTATTGAGGCCACTGTGCTCCTGGGAGCACTCAAATAGTTTTATACCTTTGCCCTGATCAATGTCTCGCTACAATTTTATCACAGAGGTCTGCAGAGAGGACCTTGGACTTTATGAGCTTGTTTTTGTCCTGACAATGACATGCAGTGTGAAGTGTGGGACCTTACACACATACATAGACTTGTACTTCTATCTTTGTGAGGACATACATTGACATAACACATTCCCTAGCCCCTTACCCTAACTCTAATCTTCAGAACTAAATGACTGCAAATGACTAAACTAAACTATAACTCTCCCCCTGAGTTCTAAGCTGAACTCAAAAGATGAAGTCTTAACCCTTAAAAAGCCACTTCAGAAAGTGAGGATCGGCCAAAATGTCCTCACCCTGTAGCAAAAAATACTCTTTTGGTCCTCACTATATAGCAATTATACAAACAAACAAACACACACGTGTGTGTGTCTTTGTAAACTATGTCCAATCATCTGATCAGAATTTAAAAAAAAAACTGACCTCCAATAACTTGAATTTTCTAGACGAGTTTTTTTTTTTAATTTGTAGATTAATGGAGAACAAAAAAATCATTAGCTGCATGCCTAAAATGTAGAACTCTGCCTTAAAAAGGATTATCCATGAAAATAATTCAAAATGCGTCATTGATCCTACAAAGTTTCTTGGAGTCATTCTCTGTTCTCTTGGGAGTACGAGTTACTTGCAGCACTGTTAGTAACACATCTGTCACACAGCATTCTTTCCTTGATGATGCTCAATAACCTGCAGGTCAAGTCTATATTAAAGTGCCACGCTGGCCTGGAAAAAGGCCAGCTACTTTCCTATCCTGACTGAGCAAAAAGCCAAGATGCGTCCAGACCTAGAGGACAGAAACGAGAGGCTCTGTCTTGCTCCTCAACTATATTCTTTCTGCTCTCCTGCCTAGTCAAATAACTGTGTGGGTCTTCAGAGAGGATGAAGTAAAATAATGGAGCATTTTATCTGCCTGTAAAAAGCTTCCAGCTGCCTCTCCCCATTTTCTCACTGACAAAGAGGATCTGCTAAATTCCATATTGCCTTTTTTTTTATTTTATTTTGATCACTGAGGCAGCTTTCTCCCTCCAATCGTAACCATTTTCATTCAGCCTAATGGTGTATCAGTGACTCAGGAAGGTTCTCAGGCATTAAACTTGGGAATTCATACTCCCCTGCCACCAGGTCAGCACTGGCTAGACCCATTTTTCGTGAATAAAATAAGAAGTCATAATTACAACCATTACATTACTCTCTCACAGTGGAGCACTGAACTGGGCCCTGTGCTCCTGTCCATTAGGGGGCTTCCTTGTCCTATGGCCACATGGGGCTCTGACAGGAAAATAGGACATTAAAAAAAAACACACACACACACACATTCTGCAGAGCTGTACTGGAACCCTTGGCACAGTTGTTCTCCTTGCCAGGACCCAGACTTTCACAGACTATGGGTCCAATCCATTACATCAAACTTGCATGCAATGTCAAACTTAAATTTATAAAAACTGGGTCATGACCTAAAGGTGAGGAAGATGAGAATGAAATAAACAAAAAAGTGACAGACTATTCTGAAGATGCTGGTTCCTCGTGCTATAGCACCTTAGTTGCTGAATTACATGCTGTCACTTTTCATCATAATAAATAGCACTACTATAATTCATATCAAAAAGAACATTGCATAAATCATCCTTTATCTCTTTGCCATTTCGATTGATGACGGCACCACTCTTGGTTGATCAATGTTTGATGTATAGTACATGACATTTTTTAATATGTGCCAGTCAAACTCGATCTGGTGTGATGCACCATCACCCTGCCTGTCCACACAGTCTGTCTGTCTGAGAGCCCCGACTGATGAGCAGGACGCAACACGCTAATCTTAACCTGATGTTACCCTACACATTAACTCTGGCCCCTAGTCGAGTTCATATATTATGAAATCGACTAAATCTGTATTCACATTCACATTACAGGTGTGTAATTTAAGTCTATATCTTCCCTACCTTGGTCTAGTTAGGAGGGTTTCTTTAGTTGCTAGTACTTTGAGGAAAAGATGCATCAGGTTATCAGGGTACGCAGTGTTAACTTCCTCCTCCCCCATTTTCTTCTGTACTTGCCAAGTTGTTCCTGTGTAGTCCCTTCTTCCAGGAAGGTGATTCTCTCCAGGACTGCCCAAAACATCACACCTAGGGAGAAGATGTCTGCCTGGGCTGTGTAGGTCAGTCCACCCCACACCTCTGGAGCCATGTAGAAGTCAGAGCCACAGGTGGATGAAAAGTGCTGCTTGGTCAGGCCACCATCAGCCAGACCTTCACTCATCTTGCTCAGACCAAAGTCTGCCACCTAGAGGTTGGACAGGGAGATCCAGTGAAAAAGAAACACAGGACTCTCTGTGTCACCATGCAACGTTTTTTCAGAACATTTGCCACAAACTGATTTTGACCTATACTTCAGGAGAAAGGGACACAACAAAAAAGTAACCTCCTGATATCTGATATGTTATTTTTCCCTTGGCAAAAGCAGTCCAAGGATTACTCAAACTACATGTCCACATGTGGAAAACAAGCAGCGCTGAAAGGATTAGTTAAATTGACAAAAAAATATATATATTACCTTTGACAATGTTGATATTCTATTTGCTTCTTTTAATAGCTCATTTCTTAAGTAAATTACTTTTAAAATCTTTATGCTTCAAGCTTCTCTTCTCTCTCTATCTGCTGGTTTTCTTAGAGCTCTGTGATAGAAAACTGGGTGTCTCTGGGCTGTGGTCTCCTCATCAAACAAAATGAGACATTTTAATACATCAACCTAGGGTTTAGGTACGAGGGGTGGGAATTCTTCACTGTTTTCTAATAATGGGTGGATGATACCATAAATATTAACTTTCAATTCAGAACCACGAAGCTGTTTTAAGATTGTAGACCAGTGTAAACAACCTATAGATGAATTGATAATAAAAATAATTTGCCACCACACAACACAGACCTTCTGTGTATTTATTCTATGCAGAAGATGGCATCACAAATCTGTTTTTGCATGTATCATTACCAAAATTAGATCTGGATATGAAAAAGGGGGGAAAACAGGTCTGATGTTACAGTTTTAAAACAAAACTCCAGGCTGAGGCATCTGTGGACTGCACAGTTAAAAAGAAATAATTACTATTTAGAGAACTAAATCATATTAAAGATATATCAATGCTTGTTAAACTTCACAAGCCTTTATCAGGATGTTTTATAAAGGACTGAAAAATATCTGCACAAGTGTCTGGCTTTGAGCAGACTGTTGGGCCATATAATTGTCATTTCATCATATTCCTGTTTTCAAAGCAACAGTGGTAAAGTCTTATAATCAGATATGCAACTGATACTCAGTATTTTGTATGATAATTGTTTTTATACACATGGGTGAGCATTTTTATTTCCAATTACTTTTCAAATTTGATTTAGTTATATTGTTTACTATTTCTAAAGTTTATAGATGCAGTGAAATCCGCAGGGAACAAACCTTCATGAAATAACTGTCTTCAAATTTTAACATTGTGAAGAAGCTGTGTACCGTACTGAATCTGGGATATTGCCACTTAATCTGGTGTCAACGTTTCCATAATGTGACAATCTGCCTACCTTGACAACAGCACCTTTTGGCGTAATACAGACCAGCACATTGTCAGGTTTCAGGTCTCTGTGAGTGATACCCAGGCTATGCAGGAAGGCCACGGCGCTGCAGAGCTGTCGAACCACACTGTGGTTACGATGGGCATCCGGGGGCCTGGAGAGCAGGTACTGATTCAGGTCACCCCCATCACAGTACTCCATGACCAGCCACAGGGCAGACCAGCGCAGGGGTCTCCGCTGCTCTTCTTCTCGCTGTGCTGGTCTCTTCCTGGCCCTATTCTGAGGCCTTTGTGGAGTCGTAGAATCAGATGCACTCGGTTTAGTCATGTCCTGATGCTTAGCTCTGGCGTCAACAGTGTTGGTCCTGTCTTGAAGACTGGAGTCAGAGTCAGTCCTCCTCCGGGTGTTAGCCTGGGCATTAATCCTCTCCTGACTGTGCTGTGCTCCAGCTACACTGCCCTTCAGCACGCTCTCAACTAGAGGTAGAGGCAGTTTCCCAGGTTTAAGGGGCTTCAGGCTTCTTGGCCCTGTCTGCAGGAGACAGCTGTGGAGTGCAATGACATTGACATGGTTCTTGGCCGTGGCTCTCATGGCCCACAGCTCTTGCAGGTAGAGTTCAATACACTCTGGATTGCTGCAAGGCAGCCGCTTGATAGCCACCCTCTGTCCAGTTTTGGCCATATGGCCCTCAAAGACCACACCATAGCTGCCTCGTCCTACCTCCTTCTCTAAAGTGTAGATCTCCTCCATCTTTCACGTGAGTTGAATCTGATGTGAAGTGCTAATAAAAAAAAATAAAGTAACTAACGTTGGTAACGTTATACAGATTTAAAGCATTGTTTAACGTAAATAAGTGCCTTGAATGAACGACATCGTAACTGTGAAATAGTTTAGAGCACAATCAGGCTCTCAGACTTTTTAAGTTTACGTCTTGATGGGAGCTTCGTACTCCGTAAACTCAGCTAAGATTGTTAACGCTAACCTTACCCTTCATAACCGCTCCATGTGTTAACGTTAGTAGCGTTAGTTTCTCACAAGTAACCTTACGCGTTTTTCCCCAAGTTGAAACAATAACTTAAATGTCCGATTGACGGTTAGTAAATAGACGAATTTAACATGGCGCTGTCTGTAGTCACTTCCCTAATGAAAGTGAAACACAAAGCTCTGCGTTATGTCGATTCAAAACGTACCCACAACGCTACAGCTTATGTTACAGCAATATATCGATTTGAATCTGCAGTTTACTTCTTTAACAAGCCGCCTCGCACCACATTCAACACACTTCTAATTTTATTGTCGATAAACATATGAAATAAAATAATACAACGACAAAAATGAACGAACAGGCCAGACTTCCGTGTTTAAATTCGGAACGTCCCGCTCTGTGTGTGTACGTGTACCGTGATTGGCTACGTAATATCCGTCCTATGTTTTGATTGGTTGGCATAAGAGCAGTTATGGATTCGCATTGCTAAGAGCTTACCGAAAATAATAGATTGTTATTGTCATGTACTATCATAATGTATGTGTTGCTTTTTTCAGAAGGTGTGGTAACCGACAATTGATTTCAGAATGAATGAAAATCATTGAAGCATTTATTTTAAGGAATAACAATATACCCCCACTGAGTACTTTATTTTGTATATTTGTACAATGTAATGCAACCGCACAGTGTTTAATGTTTTGGTGAAATTGTCTTAAATATAGGCTATACGTTTGATTACATGTTTATTGCTGAAGTCATAGAAAAAGTCAGTGTTGTACTGGAATGCATTAAGCTATACTCAGAGGCATCTCTACATCTTTGTCCTCCCCTTTTGAGCATCACATTCAGTTGTACAGGTGTACCTAATAGTGGTGGGTGAGCCTATTTTAACAGCATAAAGCAATATTAGCTCAAATATAAAGCTAAATGACACAGTTTTCAAGGAGCACATTTGAAATGGATGGATCAGAAGGAAGGCCATTAGCTAGTATTAGCATCAGTGTCCACATTTTATTTTGCATGTACTGTAGTAAGAAAAAAACGAGTTAATCAAGTGTCACATATTATTCACATTTAAAATGTATTCCACAAAACAAATGATAATTTTGCCATGTTTTTGAAGACCTAACAGGTACATTTGGACATTTAGTTACAGAGAGACAAAGAATGTCCTGGCCAGAAGTATACATGCCTATTTTGGTACACGGACAGATCAGGAGTGGGTCCTCAGTTTTCAGTAGTGCATAAAAATGTTAGAAGTGTTAAGGACAATGAATGTGTATTAGTAGTCTGCTATAAGATGCAACAGTTGTGTGTTCTAGCCATTTAATTTGGCAAAAAAAGCTCTGAAAGAGCAAAACCATCAAACTTCCCTTATTGATGCAGTTCCATTTACTTACAAAAGACCTTTGGAACAAAACGCATACACAGAGAGTGGGTGCTGCATCAGAACCCACAGATTTTTGGTGGAGGAGCAACTAAAGTGGTGATGACATATACAGTATTCCTGTGTGTGTGTGTGTGTGTGTGTGTGTGTGCGCTCGCACAATTTGTTCCTCTGAGAGAATATAATAGGAAACAGTGATTCACTGCACTGTGAAAGAAAAGACCAGCTTTGGAGTGTATGTGTGTGTGATGCGTGTGTGTGCGTGCATGCATATGTGATCCATAACTTTTATCAGTGATTCCAATCATGTATGCTCTTCATTACTTGAGGAATATGGAGTCAGTCACACTTGACTTGTTTTTATCTTGAAGCAAATACCTTCTATTCTATTACCATATCTCACTTATTTTGACAGCTATTTGGATGCAGACACAATGCCTAGAAGGCATTCTGGTTGGAGAATTTATTAGGAAATATTTTGGAGGAACAACACCAAAGAGGCTGCAATCGAATTTCCTGACAATAAAGCTTCCCAGGCTCCCCAAAAAGACCTTAATGAGTCCAATAAAAATTACAGTTTTAATCACCTCTGTTTTCAGACTAATTGTGTTTCTGTGGGGGCTTTGTGTGCTAATTATGGAGTACACCAATGGGGGTGGGGGGGCAACTAATTATTTCCTTGATTGAGGTCAAAACCCTTGCATTTAATGCTGAGGCCTATCCCAAGCCCCCCACATGCAAAGAGCAAACATCAGTAAGCATCTTCTCAGCATCCTGTTCTCAGTGTCATGCAGTCATTTTTACAAATGATCATTTTCCTCCTCAGTAAGCTACAACTCTTGTGTCTTTATTCTGTAAACCCACTATCTGTACATTGAAGAGTGGGCACTCTGTTGATTGCATACTGTTCATCCCCCACAGGGTTTATGTTTATGTCTAGTTTCGGATGCCCTCTTAGTAAGTACAGCTGGCACTAAAAAGAAAATATCTTGAGGGAGTTATACAATGAGATCAATGTACCTGTATATAAACACATGAAATACTGCTGTGTATCTCACAGAATGCTTACACTTTGAAATAAAACTTTCCTTAGTTTTTTGGTGGTTGACACTGCAGTTTTTCCAAGCAGAATAATTCTTCTTCCATGTAAACTTAAGGCAGCTTTTGAGATGGAAATGGAATTCTTTTCCAGGCAAAATTCATTTTCCGCCTTGCTGTTAATAACAATCAGTTGTGTCTTGACAGGTGAAAGCCCCGAGCAGCCGTAAACCACAGGAGAGAACCCCCCCCCACCTCAGTTTCAGATCATTGGGTTTCACTGTGGAGGAGGATGGTAAAACACTTCAGCTGGATGAGATGGAGAGGGGACAAGAAGTTGGACTTAAAATTAACAGGCCAAACACAGGTCAGGTTTGGCTGCAGCTGTCTCATAGTTGTATGAACACTTTTGAGAGGCCCATAACTAAACTGTAAAAAACATTTAGGGCTCTAAAAATCATGTACTATAGGAAATAAAGATATAAGATGGTGTCACAAGTTAAGTTATCACAAAAATATTATTTGTTAGTTAAATACAGAAATGTTGCATATATTTAAGATTATTGCAGAAAATAATATTATCCCCTACTAAAAACAGGTACTTGGGTTCATTTTCGAGACGATGTAAAATGATAAAGTGACAAAATTGTCAACAACAGGAACAAAAAAGCTGCATGTGGCACAATATGAAGATGCATGTGAGAGAACGATTGTGGCCAGAGTCATATGCAATCTCTCATCTCCAATTATCTGTTTGAAATTGGAGGGCAACATATTTTCAGATCTTGCTTTGCAAAACATCAATGCTAAAACTGGACTTACTAGTTATCATGTGATATGGTGGTGAGTTAAGTGTGACCTTCTCAGTCATCAAGGTAATCACAGCCTCTTGGCCTCCAGAGGAAACATTTATGTACACTGGACTGAGAGTGGCAAACAGCGATATCAATGACAAACAGGCCTCGCAACAGCTGCTTGTTCTTCTGGGCTTCTTATCTCAGTTGTACCGGGGGCTTTGTCTATGTACCCAATTCATCCATCACTATCAGGCCTCCCACAGGTTCAGCACCAGTATTCACACTTTAACAGGGTGCTGAAGCTTATGTCAGCTTGTGATGAGAAGGGAGCTGAAACTCATGTGTAAAAAAGAAAAAAACAGCAGAAAAGCAAGGTTTTACTATGAAATGCTTATAAAGCTATGCAGTATAACCAGTGAGGTTTTTTTTTTCACCACAAGTGACTATTGTCCATCAGTTCTACAACCTGTACATGTGTAAATGTATTGTGCATTATCCGTGTCAATTAAACAATAATAGTCAAAGCCATTTCCATCATGCATTAGTTACTTAATTGTTTTTGCCACACTAGTGGCCTGACTCTAGGATCTTTCAGTCAGTTAATCAAACACTGGTCCAGACTGAAATGTTTCAATAACAATTAGATTAATTGGTTCAATGTTTTATATAGACGTTATAGACAAATACAGTACATGCAGTACCTTCAGCCCCACCCATACACCACATCCATCTTCTGATTGTTACCTCACTTCTCCTGCTGCTCATCAGCCTAATTTTCACTGCCACTTCTCTCTGTCTTCTTTTTTTGCTCAGTTGTTCTTCTTCTGGTTGACATAAACTACCAATCCAAAGATTGGACACACTTTCTCATTCAGTTCATTGGGAATGTGCTTCCAGACGTTTGAATGGTGGTGTAATCGCCACCTCAACAGAACACCCAACATGTACTACAGGCCATAGCCTGCTGAGGAAGTCTTCAGGACCTTGGCAGGTCTTGTTTTCAACCCCTGCATGACTCATACTAACCTCTTGTCTCCAGACCCAGACTGACTGCTTTTTCTGTCCATTGACTTCTCTTCCTTGTTAAGTCTTTCATTCACAAGGAGGACCTAGTCTCTTATTCAGGTGTGCCATCAGCACTAACAAGGAAAGGCTTGTTATTTTACTCTTTAGCAGCATACACAACCTTATCGCCCCACGATCATCTACCTGTCATTGGTTTTCTTACTTTCCCTCGGCTTGCATTTCTGGAGTAAACATCTGATTACAAGTGTCATTTTGCTGCCCCGACTTTGGCAGCAGGTTGCAATCGAAGTTATGGGTTTTATGGACATCTTAGAGCATCTGAATCAGTCTCATGGTGGATGATGTGTATTTTTAGAGCCTCATTAGTTGGCTCAATGAAGACGAAATTCATTGCGTAGGCAATGCCTCCTACGCCAGCACGGGGCAGTGGCTGTGTGTCTGTCCGGGGTTTGTGCGTAACAGAATGGGGGAATCCAGCCCTCTCTCTCTCCCCCCTCTCTCTCTCTCTCTCTCTCTCTCTCTCTCTCTCTCTCTCTCTCTCTCCAGCTCTCCTCTATGGGGATGTGAATGGTGGCATACAGGGGAAGGGAGGGGAGGGGTGTGGGGGTGACTGGAGGGTTGAGCCAGGAGGGAAGGGGTGTGCCATTATAAGAAGCCTCAGAAGAGGCATGCATTCAGTTGTTGAAACCCTTAGCCTAAGGATACAAGCAGAGCCACCTACCCCTCCACAGAAGGAGGACTGAGAGAATATCTTTACGTCACTGATACAGGTAAGGAAGCGCTCAAGTGTGACTTTTCATATCAGTGTGAGCTTATCTGGGTGCACAGGAGAGAAGACACTTGTTTAGAGGTGAGAAAATCCTTCATTTGAACAGGACTTGTTGACTCTGGTATACACAAACCACTGGCTAATAGATCTTGGGGGTTATCGTTGTTTAAAGACAGCGCACTGTTAAATTCTCTCTCTTTTCCTCCTTTTTTTGGATTGAGTCTGTTGTTTCTGCTTTATGTGTTTCTGGCTTTGGATTTTGACCTCAGCGGTGACTTTGTAAATAAACCTCCCCACCTAGAGTAATCTTTTATTTTTCCATTACTCTGTTTGTCTCCCTGCGGCTTTAAAGGTATCATAGTCACCGTCAGCATTTCCCACAGCGCATCTAATTACTACTTAATTAACAAGAGAAAGTCCCAGATCTGCTGAGAAAGCAGTTGGTCATTCAGCTGCAGTTTGTTTTGGCCTAAGGTGTACTTAATTTTAATCTACTTACACATAATAATATACAAATTGAAATTCATTACAAAATTGGAATGAATGAATGAATAAAAGCATATAAACTATAACGGCACAGATAAAAACTATTTTAGAACCATTCCTCCAGTATTTAATTTTCCTTCATATTTAAACTGAATTTATCAAAACAGCTTAGGCAGAAGTCAGTTGAATGTCAGGAACTCCATCGTCAGCTTAAAGTATGTCTGGTTTACTATTGAGACTGATCATATATATTATAAAATATTATGTCACATTAAATATACCACATGAAAGATTCAAAGTCTCATTGACAAAAGCTGTTTTATTCCTCTCAAAGTAGCTCCAGTGTCAACTCAAACAAGTAGAAAACAGACTCAAGAAATGAAGCGGTTGATGTTATTATGCTAAGCGCATAATAATGATGATTTTAATGATAATGGTAATGAATGTGCATAATCTTTTCTCATTATCGGTGAAGACGATACCCGCGCAGACAGGGGAGAAAATGGGTGGCTAATGTGCCATTCACAGATAAATGGCTTCACATTGGGGAATGTTTTATGGAGAATAGAGTCTGTTTATTGGACCGAGTCAGATATGGCATTTTGGAGGTGTATCAAAAATAACTGGACTAATATGAAAGTCAAACAATGAATTATTTTTGTTTAGTTATGTTTCTTTGTATTTATTTTGTGTAAAAATATATGCTGTTTCATAAAAGGAAAATGTTTTGGTGCTAATGTACCATGGCTCATAGATTTTTTTTTTTTAATTGGTCCCTAGAATCTATAGTTATACGCTCAGCTTCTCTAGTTTGTTTGTTTTAAAAATTAAAAATAGATCTTGCAAGAGTCCATAAAATCTAATCTTGTTTGTATAAATCCGAGTCTGTATTTCCTCTCAATCTAAAATAGGTTTAATCTAATCACATCTCACATTATTGAAAATAAATGTCACGATTTCATTTGCTATTTATTTATTCTGTCTTGTAAAAAAAAAAAAAGCAGGTTGCATTGCTCTGGCAGTACCTCACATCTTTCTCTAATCAGCTAAAAAAGCTTTTAGGATTTCTGCTGCTTACGCTGAGACTGAACTAATTGTACTGTTTACAGGATTTTTTTGGCGTATCTGTCATTTTTCATGTAGGCTGCTTTTAGTGTTTTACATATCATCTTGTGAGCACAGGAGCATTCAGTGACTCTCCCTAGCCTATTTTGCGGTTGAACACTTCCCAGCCTCACTGTCCTCAGCTTGATCGAAGTAGGGAGCTTGTCTGACTGTAGTAGGTTACGTTCCCCTGCCTCCATGTCCAATGGATTCGTGCATGTGCCAATGCAGCTTAACAGCTACCAGATCGATGATGACACCATGTCAGCTGGATAACACTGGAGAATTTCAGTCATATGCTCAGAGCTGGTGGGAAGTGACACTGCAGGGCTGAATGTTAAGGGTGTCCTTATGGAAAGCCTTGTGTTCCAGTTGATTTGGCTTTGATAATTTACATTTTATTACAGTTTCAGTTAACTTTTTATAATGCCCTGTAGAAGGCATGGTTTGATTTCAGCACCTCAAAACACTTTCCACAATGTAACAAAAAATAAAATTGCCTCAGTTGAAGTTATATAAGGAATTACATGGAAACAAACAGTCAAGATTTAGATTAATGCACTTTTCTGTAATCCCAGTGTCCACTTTGTTTTGAAAGATTCATCTCCCACAGACTCCCACACATCTAATCCTGCTTCAGCTTCAGCCTGTGTGACAGTTTATCAGCCAAAGTGAAAGCTGATGTGTCTGTACCGAGCTGTTCTCTCTGTGTGCCATCAACCCATACAAACTGCAGTGCGAGAATATTATTCAGGGCTATTAACACAGCTTTGTGTGGGCTAAACAAGATAGATGATTGGTGGTGTGATTTCCAGTGAAGGACATATTTGATGCTGGGAATGATTACAGAGAAGATGTCACCCAGTCTACCTTCAGGTCCAAATATGTTCCCAATTAAGAGAAACTTAAGGAAACCAAAGATGAATATAAAGAGTATCATATCTTTGCTTAATTTTCGTACTAAATGTATAAACATGTTATAGCCTGTGTCGAATGCGAGGAGGAAAAAAGTGCTGCACTTCCTCTTATTTCCACTCAAATAAAAGATGTTAAAAAAAATCTGATAAAAGAATCACCATTGCATGTAAGTGCATGTTGTCACGCTTTTCTTTGTGTGCTTGAATTTCATTGCACATATATAGCGTCGTCATTACCTCAATGCCCTTCACTCTTGACCTCTTCCCA